TATTGTATCGAGATGAATCAAGATTAAGCTTGTTCTGTATATCATGGTACAGTTCCGAATATGATGTAGTCTCTGTTATATGTGTTGCCATACTAGAGGGCATATTATTCGTCCATTTCCATACCCATCAATTATTTTCATCAAATTCAAAATCACCAAAATAACAAATCAAGAGTATAATCCTCATATCTGTGCATGACAAAACAGAATTTGTAAACATCCATTTAAAAATTTAGCTTACAGTGGGAACATAAACTTATTAAAAACAAAACAGTCAATTTAACAGCCGAGATCTTGGGTGTGTTAACAGCCGAAAATTTTCGTTGTTAACAGCCGATTGTCCGTCTGTTTTTTCGTAACAGAAGGCGAACCAATCGGAAAGTTGTGCAGATGATTTTTTTTCCTTCATGCGTAAAAAAATTATAGATATGCAAAAAAAATTAATCTGCCAACAACCTATGTCGAATCTTAATTTATCGAGTAAAGAAGTATACACATTTAATGAAAACGAAATTAAACATACATATTTATACTTACCGATTCGAAGTAATTGATAGAAAGCAATTTTTTTCTTCAGTTATGGATATTTTTGAGATTTTCAGAGTGAAGAAGTTGAGAGAGTTTTTATCTATGTTCGAGCTGATTCTGTAATTTTATGTAGGGAGTATTTGGTTTTTATTTGTTAACTAAAAGGGAAGTATTGTCTTTTTAACAAATTCATATTTTGTAATTGTTTTATTCACTTAAGAGCATTTTTGTCTTTTGAACACCCTTAGGCTACTTTGAAATTATTGATTTGTAGAAGCGTTAATGTGGAATTTCCCTCCTTTGACCTGACCATTTTTAATTGAACCCCACCCTATCCCGGACTTGCAAATTTTCACATGCTCTACACTCTCATAATTTTCCGTCCCTCGCGCTAACGATATATTAATCTTCGCTAGTGATAGTCAGCCCGGCTCAGAATCACAAATGATTTCCAATTCTACTGCCATCAACTTGTAACATGATTTCCAAATGTATAACACAATATCACAGTTAAACTAATAGCATTACTTATGAGATGGATCCCACACAATCACACAAAGTACAGAAGTACTAAATAAGCAAAATACACAAATGTGAGACAAATGAGTAGTGAACAAGCAATGGGTTTATACATTTAGATCCACATATATGTACTAATGATTCGTTGTGACACTGCAAAGATGGATGGATCAGAAGGATTTCTGCATTTGATTTTGCAATGAAGTCTTGATATTAGGTGTATCAACAGTATGATCAGCTTGAGTTGCCATGGGAAGCTGATCAAATGGCATCTGCAGATGGAAATTCTGAGGGAGATTAAGCAACTGATCATGATCAGGTGGTTGAGTGAGATTATTCCAGCCCTTTGAGAGGATAGAGGTTGCACATCCATCCAATCCTATGTGTGTCACGTGCTTTATATCGGTAGGATGTCCTATTTCCATTCCTGCCTCTCCTTCTTCCATCTCATCCTTCTCGACTGAAATAGAATGTTACCATCATCGTTAGTTTGGAATCACGGAATTGATAGAATCGAGTTTTTAACCCAATTTTTGATATACGTGCATGTAAGGCTCCTATTTGGTTCAACTCAAAATTCTGATTAAAATCTAAATCAAATTCAACAATTAATTTTAATCCCATATTTTATGAGATTCACAACTTTTAAACCACACATTTGATCAACTTTTATCAAAATCCACTAAACATCTGATTTTTATCTAAACGAAAAAGGGGTGAAATATACCGAGGAAAGTCTCATGTTTAAAGCATCAGAATGTGGATTACCAAATATATTAGAGAAGTTCTTGAAATTCTTGAACAGCTTTTGAACCCTAGGAAGGGCCAAGAGACTTGATGGGCTTTTCATATTTTCAACTGATAAGTTCTCTTCATCTTCATCATATTCGTCCTCTTCTTCCTCCTCTTCCTCCTCCTCCTTTATCTGGTGATGGATTCCTGTACAAGAATAAGCCACAAAAAAAGGTTTAAGAAATACATGATAGTGTTAACTTGTACAAGTGAAAGATCGAGTACTTGTGGGAGTTTGATTGGCGTAGAGCTTTGATCTTTTAGTCTGCCGAACACCAACTGCAATGCTGGATTCCGAGACACAACCCAATGTAAAGGGAAGAAGTACAAATCTTTCCATTCGATCTCTCATTTCTTCAAGCGCGCAGACGTAAACACACAAAACAAAGGGAGTTAGCTAGTTTATGCTTTTGAAGAACAAAGATCAATAGGTGGGTGGAATGTAGGAATGGGATTGTTGTTATAATGTATATTGCTTGGCTGCCTTTGTTATTAAGTTAGAATAATACTTTGTATTGATAGTCAATTTCCACTTTAAGAGAATGTTAGTATTAACATACAAATCAATGCAACAAAATTAGGTAAAATTTGCTAATTAATGTAGTATTTGATGTAGACGTATGACTATGTTTTTCTCTCTCTGTTAGTTGAAAATGGTGGTGGGCATTGCCACTCTTAGAGGAGAAGGCAGCAGTCTTCCAGTACTAGTGCACTATGGTCTATCATCTGTTTATTTCTTTACTTTGTTGAATAAACTTCAGTTAGACTCCACCAAATACAAGTGTATGTCAAGCAACCCTCTTCATAATTACAAGTTAATGCAAAACAATACATAAAATTCACTTTTGTGTGTTTCTTTGTTTTAAAGCGAACAAAAAAAGTTTATTTTTGTAGCAAACTAGCACTCAATCTCGAAGGTACACGATCAACTTGATCATCATCGAACGGCCCCGTCCCATCCCGTCCCGTCCCGTCCCGTCCCTTCCCTTCCCTCCCCTTGTTAACTTCTCCGAGCATTATCTAAATTTGAAGAGTAATTTGTATTATCGTTAGAAGTTTCTTGGTTTCTTCTTCTAAGTAGTCCAATATTGAGGGAGCCACCTCGATACCAAAATCGAGACAGCCATGCGTACACATCTTGGTGTGTTCTTCTTCTAGTTAGTCCAATATTTCGTCGAATCCACCCGGAGTAAAGGCATCGATGCTCTTTTATAGGTGTTCTTGATGGATATTTAAGAGATTGAATGGTTTGAACTAATATTTGATCATACGTGCTAAACAAGCAAAGATTTAGATGAAGCACCAAAGTAAAACCCTTTCGTGTGCACTTGTATGTGTTTTATGGAGTTTAGATCCGGTTCAAGTAATAGATGAATTACATAGTGACTAAGACCATGGATTAATCGAAGGCCCATAATTATTAATTATTTATATATTTTTACTTTTTTCATTAAATTTTTTTTCGACAATTAATAACATTTAAAAAAATTAAAGATTACAAAAGACTTTTAGTTAGTAACATTAAAACAAAAATAGTTTAACAAATTTAATTTATCAAATAAATTCTTCAGAAAATTTTTAAAAATATATAAAATCAAATACTCAACCGGAAATTCTATCCCAAGCAAAATAAAAAGTTAAAAAAGAATAACTTATGAGTCATTAAATTATAAGAAAAGACAAAAAATTCAAAAAAAAATTTATTACATTCAAATTCAAAAATTATAAAAACATATAAGCATTTATTTGATTCCCATTATTTTTAAAATATATTTTCTTTCTCTTATTTTGGACAACACGTTTTTCAATAAAATAATATTACATTCAAATTCAAAACAACTCCTTATTTTTTAATCATACATACTCTATCAAATCACTACTCCAAAATACGTTTTGGCAAGAAAATGATGCTCAAACATGCTCTAAATATGAAAAGATAAGTTTTTTGAGTGATAGCAACGACTTCCTATCGGTGAATAAAATATTATCTATGATTCCCGACAACATCTCCAACATTGCCCTTGGTAATCGTTGACAAAGGTGTATTGGTAATCACCAAGGATATTGTTGTCGATAGTTTCGTCTACCTCACCAACATTTATTGATTTAATCACCAAGGATATTGTTGTGATAGTTTAATCAGATTCACCAATATATAGATTTTAAAATTATATAGTCGTATCGTCGACAATCATGAACATCTCTTGTCGTGATTGAAGTGTTGTTGGTAACTCTATGCAACATCACTGACAATATTACCATCGTAATCATTAATGACGACACATTGGTGATCTCAGTATCATTGTTGGTAATTCTACCAGAAATTACCAACCAACATGCTGTCAATGGTCATCTATAGAATTTCCCTCAATGATTATTTGTTTCATTAAATTTTTATTGTCATTTTCGAAAAGGCCTCTTGATTTTACCTACTGGGTTTGATCTTTCTCATTGAGGACTGAATATCACCTATTTGAAAATGACTTGCATATTTTTGTGCATGAGGCACATCACAGCTATTTCATTCACCTATCCGGAAATGGATTATGTGTTAACCATCTTTGCAGTTGTATAATAAGGTGCAATGATTTAATTTCTTTAAGTTGGTTGGAGAATAAACATAAGAGTAATGCTAATCATCATTAGTGTTGATTATCATCGTGTTTAAATGTCAATAATTATATTTTAATAATTCTTTACATTTAATTGAATCTATCATTTACAATCATGATATTATCGCATAGGATGATGATAGTTACAAGCAATGACAAATATATCTTTTTGAAAACAATGCACCATTTTTATGCCACGTTATGATTTCCATTACATGAGAATGCTAGCATAAAAATAGAACTCCAATAATTACTTGTGGAAAATTAAGTTTTATAATGAAAATCAACGTTTTGGAATGAGATTTGCTTCGTGTACAGAAGCAAAATTAACAAAAATTCATTAGGTCACCTACACATGTGGGTCTCGCAGAATTATTATTATTTTTTAAATACACGGTGGGGCCTACTCATTGTGAGTATTCTGTGGAAACATTTTTGTACAAATGGAAAAATTGTTTTGGAATTCCCTACCGATAAAGATAAATGGTCAAAGGCTTAACTGACTAATTGAATCAAACGCACGGTGCGAAGACAGTAAAAGAAGTGATGATTTTGTAAATTTCGTGGACGTTTATAGATTTTTATAAAATTAGTGGAAATTTTTCGTAGACTTCTATTAACTTTCAAACTTTTGCAAAATTAAAAAAACTTTTAAAGATTTTAATTTAAAATAGAATCCATGTGGATATAGTGCAACAATGTGGAGTTCTCATATACGAGATGGTAGTGTTGTAAATTTGTTATTCAAAATCATAGAAGTGGATAAATGATAAATTAAGACAAAGAAGAAAAAGGTGCCCTAAAATGGTCTATGCCACCGCAAAAGCCATTTAGGCTTGTGGTCGCATAACAATTTGCAGGAAAACTTTGGGTGGCAAATGTTATAACTATGCGACCGCAATAGTTATAGCCTATGCGGTCGCATAGTTGAAAAATGTGATCGGTGGCTGGGTTTTTTTCGAATTTTCTAGTGGTTTATTGATGAAACACTATATCTTTTGCTTTGAAATTGGAACCACTTCGCATGGGATGATTGAAATCTATAAATTCTTGTTGTGCTCATCCCAAAATATATGAATGAATAACAAAAAAAAATTAGTGTATTATCATGCGACTTTTCCAAGAATTTTTGTCCCTCTACATAATCAAATTCCTTTTTTTCACTCGTTCATTTGAAGATTCACTGTACTTTTGGTGATCTTCATTAAAGGCTTGTTTAATCCTACAAATTATTTGCCAATTAAATCTTTAAAAACATTGTCAAGGAGGAAAATATCGTTTGATGACAACGATATATTTTTCGTGTTCAAGTCTTTGCCGAATTATTATTTTTTTTTTTTTGTGAAAGTCTCTCAAAATTTTGAGACGAATGAGAGACAAATTTTAAGAACTTTCTACTTAAAAATTTATATTGCGATGACTTCTACAAGAGTCTTTAAAAGTCATCGACAAATTGAATAAACTAAAATTTATTTGAGCTCTATTTTTTGCCCAAAATATATTTGACGAAAAATATGTTGTTAAAAAATAGAGTTGGGCAAACTGAATATGTCAAAATATATTTGACGAAAAATATGCTGTTAAAAAATAGTAGATATAGAAAACGAGTTGGCGACTTTCGAAATGACACTTTTTGCTAAGTTTCCATCTTGTCGTTCATGGATTAGCATCTCAAAAACTGTTCTTCTTGTATCATTGGATAAATTCTTTTTCTTGTTTGGATGATGCATATTGTTAGCCACTATAATATCTTCCGTCATTATAGGGCTTTAAAAGATCGTTTTTAAAATTATAAAATCTTTCATTAATTTTTATTTAATTAATTAATCCCTGAATTAACTTAACTATGTATAAATGATAAATGAATTATAATTAAAATAGTATTATGGGCATGGGAAGTGCAATTTTATAAAAAATAGAGTAATTGCACATTTACCCAAGGATCAAATGTGCAATTTCATAAACAAATAAAATATTGACATCTTTCTCATAGGGTTAAAAGTGCAATTTGATTACAAAAGACATAATTACATATTTGTCCAAGGGTTAAAGGTGCAATTTCATAAACAAATAGAATATTAACATCTTTATCATATGGGTTAAAAATGCAATTTGATAAATTGCACAATTAACCCTTAGCATCCACTATAAATAGAGGATAATTTGGGAAGTAGGACACGTCTCCTATCCCTTTCATATCTTAAGGTATGTTTTTAAATTATTTTGTTAGTTAATTATTTATTTGTTTAGATAATAATTTAATTAACTATTTCTTTGTTTTAAGCACTTAAATTATTTAGTTAATTATTTAGTTAATTACATATTGATTTAGATAATAATTTAANTCTTGTTTTAGGGTTCCTTAACACTAGAGGAAAGATAAAATTAGAGTTAAGTTTAATTAATAAAATCAAGAGTGATGAATTATAATAGCTTTATTTCCAACTCTTAACTATATAAGTTTTAGAAATATATAAGTTATTGCAAGAAATAATGAGTTTTATTTGATTTGATTGGTACTATTAATGATTATATAGAAGATGGGTTGGGGGAAAACTTAGTTAAGCTAAAAAGAGACTTATAAAATAAATCCTAATTGTGGGTGCTGGGAAGGATTTTATAAAAGATGATTTTGTTGGATTGTGAGTAATTGATGGAGAATCATGTTGATCATCTATGCACTTGTTTTTAGTACGAAAATTGTTGGTTGGATTGTAGTGCATTTCTTTTATGTTTAGGAAAATAATAATAATAATAAATAAATATAAATATAAATAAATAAATAAATTTTCGCAAATGTGGATGCCATAGGAGTTGTCTTATAATATTTTTAAGTTGGCTTAACATTGACGGATAAGGAATTAAATGAATTTTGTTAAGATAATGAACTATAGTAGTGAGGAAATTACACAATTTTTCCACTCCCTCTAGTTCTTGTTCTATAGCAATCCCAATTGATTATAATTTGTGGAAATATAAGTTTTCATATAACAAGTAATGAGAATTTCATTTATATTTATTATTATAAATGGTATTGGTGGCCGTAGAAGTAGTATTATTAATAGTATTATTACTCAGGTCTTTTATTTCTATATGTCTAGTTTAGGTTTGTCGATTGAGGGATAAGATGTTATGACATGATTAATGTAGAGATCATTTTATTAATGCAGCTATTAATCAAGAAAATCGCGAAAAATGTAAATATTGATGTTTTTCAATAACGTATGGATAATACATATAAACACATAATTTCACATATAAATGTAACTTGTACTATAGTTGAAATTATGTGTTTATATGTATTTGTTTTCTTTATGTGACATTGTGGTGTGACACTTGTGCATTAAGTTTCGAGGCCATGTATATTTTTGTTGTCATTCAAATGGAGTGTATGGTTTAAATTTTTAAATGTGAATCTCATTATAGATGTACCGTACTATTGTGTCGGAATAAATGTACCATTTTGAGGCTCCTAACGGTCATCAAGGGTAGCCAATTATAGGGTATATGGAGTTCGGCACCCGTATACAGGCAGTATTAGGAGGTCCCTTGGTGGCCTTGGGACTGTGGATACACATGTGGAGCATTGTATACTTAGGCCAGACCTTGATTTATATACGTTATATTTTGATGTGGCATATTTAGTTTCGGTGGGCAAGGACAGATGTATTGACATTTATTTGCACGCAATTGATGGCCATGTTATTTGAGCTCACATGGTACACTTATTCGGGCCCAAGCACGATTGATAGACATCATTGCACCATCATATTTACTGAACTTTATTGTTCACGCTCTGTATTTTGTACTGTAGATGGCTCCGCGAGAAACTGAGGTTATCCGAACTACTAGACATGCCGAAATTACTGAGGACCTAATAGCTATATATGTTATATATAGACGGACCCACTACACACGTTTTTATACGGTTGTTGATGAGGATGAAGGTATCGAAACTTTTGAAGAATATAAAGATTTTGTGTTGGTGATGGTTCATATGTATGACTTGATTACATGTCGTTATGTAAATACTATGATATCTGTAGAGTAGACAATGATGTAAAATATGGTGATGGTACATAGTAAAAGAACGTAGTGAAAATGGAATGAGTTAGCTGACATTGATATATCGCCATATTAACCTACTATAGATTAGATCTACGGAATACTTTTTGAAAGTTAGCAAACACTTCTTTTGATTAGAGATTTTGGATTGTCGTATAGTTAACTTGTTACCCGTATTTTGTAAAACCCTCTTTTGTTATAATATAAATTTGGCGGTTCTTTTGACTCTTTATAATGCTTACTTGAGTTAAATGCAAATTATTAAATCCTAGTATAACATTCCGGAAATTGATTCAAATCGATCTGAAAATTCTGTAGAACATAGGAATAATTATCATTTGGTGCAGGCCTGTTTTCGAGCAACAAATTCAAATCAAGAGATTCATGTTTTTTACTTGTGCTTAAATATGTATCCGTATATGTATTTATAATGTGCAATGAAAAAGTTTGAAATCAAAATTGGCGTTTTCTGTTTGAAATCCAATTTTTCAGTTTCAAAAATTTGTGTATTCGTGTGAAATTTTTTTCTTGTTTGAAAAATTGGCATTTTCAGTTTGAAAAATAGTAGGTGCTGATTTTCGATTTAATTATTTCAAAAAATTCAAGTTATTGTTCCCAATGATTCTCATCAAATGACATCATTCAAATTCTTTATGAATTCCAACAATAATTTAGTTTTACATACTAAAAATTAAGAGCTTATTTGGGAGAGCTTAAAATCCAATTAAAATTGAAAATATTAGCCATTATTGGGTCCCACCCGTTTAATAAAAGTCAACAATAACGATTAATTTTTCAATTTTAATCTTTACCAAACACACTCTAAATAGGGGTAAACTAGGAAAATCTTGACAAATTAATTTTCCAATAACATTAAAGAAACTTTCTTAATCCGTGTGAAAAACGAAATAAGCCTATATAATTGGAACGAAGGAAGTAAGAAATTTTTTAAATTTGTATGTAATATTATTTTATTAAAGATGTGCGTTTAAAAATAGAAAAAAAACATATTTTGAAAATATCCCAGTCATCATCAAAGATACCTTCAATAAACCTGAGTAAAATGTTTGAATGGTCACTGAACTTTAACATGGTCACGACTTACTCACTAAATTTCAAATTATCTCTTAATGGTCACTGAACTTTCTGCCGTTGCACCACATCCATCACTCACCAAATTCCGTAACCATTGAAGCTGACGTGGAGGACGGAAAACACACATGGCAGGTGACGACTGTTAAAAAATGATAACTCAGCGAAAATATTGTTTCATTATTCATCCAACTTTCATTGTGTCACATTTCACTCATCGAACTTCAAAATGCTTCCCAATGATCACTCATCTTTGAAATGTTGCACTCTATTCATCATCTGCATATTTTGTTCCCTTCATTCCTGATGTTCGCACAAAAATTCCACATGTAAGTTACAAATGTTAAAAAAAATTNATTGAAACCTATTTTTTTGCATAACAAACGTTCGAATTAGAAAAATAATATTTCTAAAATAATCATTGGGGACGCTTTATTTAGTTTTAAAGAAGTTGATGTGGCCGTGGAAGTCACGTTTCATATATGATGATTTTGGTGAGTTAAGTTTTGTTGAGTTGCAATTTTTTTTAACATTTGTAACTTACCCGTTGAATTTTTGTGCGAATATTAGGAATGAAGGGAACAAAATATGCAGATGATCAATAGAGTGCAACATTTCAAAGATGAGTGACCATTAGGAAGCATTTTGAAGTTCGATGAGTGAAATGTGACAAAATGTAAGTTGGATTAGTAATGAAACAATGTTTCCGCTGAGTTATCATTTTTTAACGGTCGTTACCTGCCACGCGTGTTTTCTGTCCGCCACGTCAGCTTCAATGGTAACGAAATTTGGTGAGTGATGGATGTGGTGCAACGACAGAAAGTTCAGTGACCATTAAGAGATAATTTGAAGTTCAGTGAGTAAGTCGTGACGATATTAAAGTTCACCGTTCAAACATTTTACTCAATAAACCTGAACTCTTAAGATCCCAAAACGTCTTTTGAAATCCCAATACATTTCCCCAATTTTTTCTAAACCCTCGCTTCAATCATCACTCACTCACTCACCGCTCTCACCTTTTCTAAATCTGCTAGTGTGAAATAGAGCAGTTATTCTATGGCAGATGACGTGGTGCAAGAAGGAGAAGAAAAGCCAGAAATTCAGGCCAAGATAGCGGACGCTGTGCGTTCACGCCTCCAACACTTCAAAGACCAATCAGAGTACGTATACGGTCACGTGTTATTATATGACATTTGTGAACTACCTTCATGTAAATACGTATATGTTTATGAATATGTTGTTTGATTCATTTCTTATTGGAGTGAATAAATGGCAGCTCATTGACGTTGGGAAGTGTGAGGAGATTATTAGAGAAGGACTTGGGACTGGAAAAGAACTCTCTGGATGTGCACAAGAGATTCATTAGCCAGTACTTGGAAAAGGTAACTTATTATGTTTTCCACTTTTAGAAGAATTTGGCCTTTCAAAAATAGCTATAAACAATTCTATAACAATGTGCATGGATTGAATGAAAATATTATCTTTTAGGTTGAAGAATATTTTACCTGTTATATTTCAGCTTCTGAATTGTTGGAACTTCGGAAGATGTCTGGATTATTTTGGGAAGAAAATGATTCTGCTGAAGCGGCTTGTCTTTTCTTGTCTCAAAGAGCATCTTTACAAAAGAAAAAGAAAGAATCTGTCAGCTAAACAATACCCACAACTAATACAATTACACATGCCCTACAGCTGCTGTTTATAGAGAAACAAAAATAATCAAATTTAGCAAACCCTATCATCCATTCCGTAGGTGTAATCTTAGCTAGATATGGCTGAAGATAGAAAACATAAGTGGGAATGAATGCGATACTCACATCAAAGTAATAAAGAAAATGTAATACTCCAACGTCATGTTCCGTGCTTATGAAACAGAGTGGCATGACCACTGTAGCCTTCAATTCAAATAAGAAATATGCATGATTCTCCCTGCTGAAGTTCAATTCCTTGCACTGCAGATCTCTCTCCTTTTCCTTCTGATCAATAGTTCTAACAACCTTTATTACTTTATTTCCATTTGAACTCTACAATCATTGACATTCAAGTTGAGACATGCCCGTCAGTCCGTCTATAGTTTTGGTTTTGGCGCTATAGTAGAAGCGTCTTCTATGATGCACCGACACGGACACGTGTGTCCGACACTATACGTGTCGGATATTCGACACACGATTTTTAAAAAAAAGTATAGACACGACACGTCATCGACACGTTGATTAAATTCTTAAAAATTCTTCATATATATATATATATAGTATAAATTTAGTTTTATACTTCTTATTAATTTTTCTTGTTGAAATCTTTTAAATATGAGTACCTCTTTGTTACTTGCTAATAATTTTGAATTAACGATATATAATATTTCTAATATAAAAAGAAAAATGATTACGGTAGAGGGTCCAAAAAATGTCGGTATCGACTCGTGTCCGACACGAGTCGGATACGGACACGCTACCCTAATTGAAGTGTCTGTGCTACAGAGAGCGTCTTTTATTGGCATTTGCATATGAAATTTTAAATGCACAAAATGAACATACTTCTGTAGCAAGGATAGCCCCCGTTTGGCCCCCATTATCCAAAAAATTCATTATTCTCTCTCTTATTTTCATCTTTCATAAAATAACATTACATGGAAATTGAAAATTTTCCTTCTTTTTCAACCACACATTTTCCAAAAAAACTATATTCCAAAAATTATAATTGTCACATAATGGGGGCCAAACGGGGGCATAATTTGTATTAACTACGTATTCTTGTACAACACATTTTGATATTTCACCCGCTAGAAGTGCTTTATGACAGAAATGGGGGAATGGCTGAATAGGTCATAGATTTGTTGATGTGTAAAAATCTTGGTCTTAACGTTTGAGAAATTATACCTGGATTGCCGCCATCCTTTGTTGATGTATATATATACATACATACATACAAACTTTAAGCCGCCTTCGTCACCATATTTCATAACTGTGAAGGCTTCTTCTGATTCCACCCGCCCTCTAAAACTTGGAGCCAAAGCTGAAAGCCTCCAGTGAAATGAATATTTTGATTTTTGAAGAGATGAACAGACTTTTTTGTTTCCTTTCTTGATCCTAATTCATTTTCTACTACTTTATTTTTTCTAATATAACTGGTTATCCCATGGAAGTTCAACGGATTTTTACCCTGGATTTAGCTATGCAAGTTTTGTTATATAACAGGACAGGTTCTTGGTTTTCGGGGTTGGCCCTGCAGCTCTGTCCGGGTGTTAACAACATTAACATTTACATGGTAACAGATAGGATAGTAAAGAAGGGAAAGGAAGAACGGAATCCCTTAGCCTTAAAACGTGTCTTGGTTTCCATCCAGTTCAGTATTTTCCACTGCCAAAATTAATGTTCATGTCCCCTGCACTTCATCACATCTGAATACCAAATCTTATTAAATTTTACGGCTTTAATTGCAGAATACTTGTGATCTATTTGCATATGTATTTGTTGTCTTTATTTTTATATTATAAGGGTTTACACCAATTTCAATGCTCTGTTCTAATTGTCAGCAAATGGAAGATGCTGATGATGACAACTCCAAAAGGACGGTGGAGAATGTGGAGAAGGATGCCCATTTAAATGAGAACGAAGTGAGAGAATCTCCTAAAGTGCAAAAAACAAAGAAAGATCCTAAGGCTAGCAATGGAGATGAGGAAACACTCAAAGACTCTCCTGTAATGGGCCTTTTAGACAGCAAATCTGAAGTGGACAATCAAGGCTCTGTAATTAGTGAAAGTAGGATTAAGAAGGCCATTTGGGATAGAGCTGATCATTTCACGGCTAATTCTGAGTATATTCTTTTTCTGAGCTCATATTGTTATTCATTGCAACCCCTCTCTTCTACTCCCACTTCCACCCTTTTTGACTTTAGTAGTCACTGGACTCACTGTAGTAGTCTGACTGAAAAATGAGTCCCTTGAATAAAATATAAAATGAAAGGGTGAAGCTGGGACCAAATCCTATTAGCACAACAATGCCAAAAAGGAGGGAAGCTTCAGACTGATGCTCTTGTTCACAATTTTGTCAACAATTTGATCTGTGTTACTGTTTCAGTATTTCCTTATTTATCAATTATAAATCAACGCTCTCACTAGTGTATTTTTCAGGAAGATAACTTTGGCTGGAGTTCGCAGACTTTTGGAGGAAGATCTTGGACTTGATAAAAATACTCTCGATCCTTTTAAGAAGTTAATAAGTGAGCAAATAGATAAGGTGGGAAAAATCTACTGAAAATATCTGAACTTGTGAATGAATGCATTTAATTACCATATACTCATCAAATTAGGTGTTGTCTAGGTATTAAACTCAAACAGTGTTTCTAAAATTGCTAATCATGTTAAGAGGAAAAGCTCTGAGAACTCTCAAAATAAAACATCAAAAAAGATCATCAGTGAGACAGGTTCTGATTCTTCAGATGAGGAAAGGGACAAAGGAAAAGACAAAGTAAAATCAAGGAAGCAGGCTGCTCCAAGGGCAAAAGATAAGAAATTGGATGAGCTGAAGAAACGTAAAAGGTCTAACAAAGATAGCGATCCCGATGTCCCTGGCAAGAATCGAAGCATGCATGCAAAGAGGCCAAAAGAAGAAGATAATGACGGAAGTGTATCTGTAGATGGTCAATCTCAATCATCTGTTGGAAAACCTGCGAAGGTCACACTTTCATTTTTCTCTGTCTGGATTTTATTTACAAATGTGGGGGCTCATGCATGATCCACAGAATCTTGAATACTTTAATTTTGATATGCAGAGGAAAGAACAGTTGACTCCTGGATATGGAAAACAAGTCGACCATCTGAGATCTGTAATTAAATCATGCGGAATGAGGTTGGTGTGTGTGGATGTTCGTGTTTAAGCATGTGTTTGGCCCCCATTATAATGAAAATTTGAGGAAAATGTATTTTGGAATAGTAATTTTTTGGAGAATGTGTGGTTGAAAAAGAAGGAAAGGTTTTGAGTTAACATGTAATATTATTTTATTGGAGAATGTGTGGTTGATAAGAAGAGAGAAAAATGAAGGTTTTGAGTTTACGTGTAATATTATTTTATTTGAGAATGTGTAGTTGATAAGAAGATAGAGAAAAATGAATTACAATTTTAATGGGGGCCAAACAAAGAGTAAGTTGTCATTAATGACCTCTTATGATGGTATCTCATTTTCTCAATTGAAAACGAACAGCGTTGCTCCTACAGTTTACAAGAAAGCCAAGCAAGTACCTGACAGCAAACGAGAAGCCTTTTTAGTGAAGGAGTTGGAAGGGATTCTCAAAAGAGAAGGGCTATCTAGCAATCCGACTGAGAAAGGTAACTGTAAGAGTCCGATATTCCACTTATTTATGGATAAAATGTCATAAAATATATTTTTGATACTCTTGATAACCTGCTTCCTTCTCTCACACTTTATAACTCACTCACCCAACTTGGTACTCCCTGTGATCCCTTGGATCTAACACCGATCTGGCACTAGTATAACTTGGTGCTTGCAATGCTTCCTTGTTCATGTCAAGGGCAATGATCACAGAGTCATTAATGGACTCTTTAGGCCAGTGATAAAATTCGTTCTAGCATGTATTAAATAGAGATCTGAAAATAGCTGCACTTGACTTAAAACCTCATCTACACACTCTTTATCTCCAAGAACCATTACCCAAGCTCGAAGGTTGAAAGAAGGGGCTGGTTGGGGTTCGGATGTTCTTTTTCTTTTCTTTTCTTTTTTATTTTTTAGTTTATATTAAGTGCTTAAATTAAAACTTAAGCAGTGGGTCTCAAAGAATGCGTGGATAAAAAGTGAGTAAAATTACAGTAAGTTGTGGGTCCGTAGAAGTGTAGAACGTGTGTTTGGCTTGTTTAAGTTATAATTTTAAGTTTTGCCAAACATGCACTCAGTTTTTACTAAATGTGAAGGTAAAACTGCCTTTTTAGAGGATTTAACGTTTGCCTTCAAATGGAAAAGAAAAACATCAGACATAGATGGTTGCTAAATACTAGTTTGGGAACCCCGATGGCCAAGAGTAGTGGAATCAGCAACCAAGTGCTGGTTGACCCAAAGAAAGGGTGGTCCTTTCTCATATTTTCCAAGTGCTGGTTCGTGTCAGTTCCATCTGGCATCAGTCTCTATGTGTGCACGTGTTTCTTTGACTCTTGGTGGTCGAGGACAAGATGGAGGAAAACGATAGAGGGAGGGAAGGGGTAGCAGCTCTGAGCTCTCCTATCCAAGCATTTGTACTTGGCTAGCCTGTTTGAGAGCCGGTATCAGTGTTCATTCGGATCCAGACTTGAAACCTATGTGGATTGTACTCTTCTTTTGTTACTTATGCCACACAAAACTACAGAGTACTGTGCTTGTCTTTGCCTAGACCACCTTCTAGTCTCCCGTACATTATTTTAGTTGCAAAAATTAACACTTTGCACTTGCATAGAAATTGGCTTTTGAATGTAAAAACCAAAGTTGTGCTTGAAAATTGAAACTAATTTTGGTCGATTAAGACAATCTTTGAGGTATTGATAAACAGTGAAACAGTATCCATTCTACAGTTTGAATTCTGCATATATTGCATGATCTCACAATAATATGTTCTCCATGCATGCCCACTATATATCTGCCTCTTCATGCCCCCCAACCCCACCTTCCAACCAAGATTTGCCACCACCATGCACAGACAGCCAGGAAGAAAACCCAGATGGAAATGATTCATTTAATCCATCTCTCAGAAATTAAAGACTGTAGAAAGAGAAAAGAAAGAGCAAAAGAACTTGAAGGCATTGACATGAGCAACATCATTTCAAGTTCACGCAGAAGGTCAACAAGCAGTTTTATGGCTCCTAAATCTAAAGTAGAGACTAAAGGTGAGAAGGATGATGTCAAAGCTAGTAAACACAAGGATAATAAGGAAAAATATGGCAATGATAGTGATGAACAGGAAGAAACAAAAGTTGGTAAGGATGATGTCAAAACTAGTGAACACAAGGATAACAAGGACAAAGATGGTGATGACGGCAATGAAGAGGAAGATAAGTTGGAAGAAGATGAAGAAGGAAATGAAGAAGAAGAAGAGGAAGACGACGATGACAATAGTAGTGATGAATTCAATGAAGGTATACATCTTTGAGGTTCTTCATGCCAATTCCCTTACCCCTCTTACAAGTTTTTAGATGGTATGTATATTTGAAATTAAATATTGTCATGTGGATTGTGGTGCTGAGTAGTTGCCAGCCTGCTTGTCAATTGTGTTTGTAACATTGATTCAACTTCAACCCTCTAAATTGCAGCATACAAGGGTATCATGGAAATGTTATGCTTAATGCCAAGATACAAAGTATTCTAGTGTAATTGGAAAGTTGATAAATGTTACTAAGCCCGTGTTTGAGCTACATTAAAATTTCCATTATCATTTTTCTACTCATTTTTAACCACACATTCTTCAATAAAAAAATATTTTATATTCCATCAATAATTTTTGTTCTTTTTCAACAACATATTCTCTATCAATATGCTATTTTAAAATACATTATTCCAAGTTAATGTGACTCAAACGCACCCTAAATCGAGTTAAGGCTTAGCAAAACTGTCAATACATTATGACATTTCAAAATTGTTGCACTGCAAATGAGAAGAAAATAGGGTATAACCTCAACATAAAAGGCCTTGTAGAAGAGTAAATGGGCACATTCTAATCCGAACTACTTTGTTTATGCCTGTGATCAATCTAATTTGAACATAAATAGGAGTGCTTTCAGTGTCATAATATTTTTGCTTTTACATGCAGACGATGGCGAAAGCGACTAAGCTCTGCATCACGTTCTTGGAAGGTATATGTAATGAATTGTAGAAGTGCAGATATGTAGTGTTGTATTAGTCATTTTCTGCACTTGAATTGTATTATTTTTTTGTTGGGTAGTATTTATGATAAACAGCATAGCGTATTAAGAAAGTAATGTGAGTTGTTTATATGGAATTATTTATAATGTTATGATTTTTTGCTGTGTGAAATTGCTGGTTTAATACAGTGAATAGATTATGATGCTAATGCATTAAGAGCTCTTAGAGATCAATTGGGAAAAGGAAAGTAAAAGGACAATGGGCCAGTTTATAAGACAAATGACCGTATATTTTATTTTATTTTATTTTTTTATTAATTTTTTGGTAAACAGGGGCCACAACAGATTGGAAAAAAATGGAGGGGGGCCAGCACTCAGGAGAGTGTGTGGCTACCATAGCTGCTTTTGCGCAGATTCTGTGGGTACTTTTTAACTCGAACTATTTCCACGTTAAGAACCTTCATTTCATACCCATAAATATAATAAGGTGTATTTTTAAAATAGACAATTTAGTCAACCTTTTATTATAAAAAATTGTACCATCAGTTGCTGAAAAATAGCAAAAAACTCTAGAAGTTGGATGTGAAACAATTAATGTGGAATTATAATAAATATTTAGTCCTTGTTTGATTTACTTTATTTTTCTCATTCTTATTTTTATTCTTTTGCTCATTTTCAACCATACATTCTTTAGTAAAATAATATTTTTCATCACAAATATAATTTTTCCTTCTTTTTGAATCACATATTTTTTATTATATCAACAGTAAAAATTCATTCTTAGTCCCAAATGTGCACCAAACAGGGGCTGGAGATTGTTTATGTTGTTGGAACTAATTGTGTGAATATAAAAAAAATGTTGAAAACTAATTTATATCGGTAGTGAATAGACTGTATCTATTCGTTTTGGTTTTTAAATTAAGCGATTTAATAAATTTGCAATCAAATATAACTTGCTAAAATTCATTCGAAGTTGAACCCAACCCTTGAATACTTGTCAAGTTTCCTTGAATTTATTCAAATTTATGTTCGATAATACTTGGAATTTTCTTAATAAGATAAGATAAAGTAATCATGTACGTGAGCTCCAAGCTACGTACACAATGTGAAACAATTTCATAAATCAAGAATGGGGCGAGTTCCACAGAAAAGAGATTAAAACAGATCAATGCAGTGTTGACATAAAAGCACGTAAAACTCACGTGTACTTGTAACATTGTTATTCTATTATAGCCCCATATATACAAAGTACTCTATTGCTTAATTAGTATTTATTTAAAAAAATTTTGATCATTTTCTAGCATTGGACCGACTCTACAAATTTAACTTTGTTAAGAACAGTAGTCATTATCGAATCCAATATCCACTTACAAATAAAATAATTGGATGAACATTCTCAATTATGTGGGGGGTAAAAGATTGTGCGTCCGTGGATGGTTTGGTTGGTTTATATTCTCTCTTCTTTTTTCATTCTCTCTCTGTTTTTTGTTCTTTCTGTGGAGAGGAGAGAAGAGTACAGAAGAGAGCCATAAAGCTTAGCTACAAAAAGCTTCCTTTTCTTCCAGTTTGATGATCCGGAATTAATCCCTTTACCGGAGTAGAATATAGCGTGACGGACCTGTCATGGATGGATTCACGGACGGTAAGACACGTGGATGGTAAAAATTCCCATGTCACGAGTGTCTGTCACGGCCGTCGCTGCTTCTTCTTCCGCCAACTCTTCCTCCTCCTCCTCTTTGCCACCTTCCTTCCACCAACAAGGTAATATCGTAAATTCAGATTTATTGCAATTGATTTTCAGCACAAATACACTTTTTCCCATGATCCTGTTTCATTTTGCAATGGCGTAGATTAACATTGTTGAAGACAAAGATTTAAATCAATATCTTGTCCACGTATCCTTTATCAGAAAATAATCACGAAGATAAGATTTAAATAAATACTCTCTAAAAGCTTACTCATAGATCACATGCAGATAATATTGTCGCCTCTGAGTTTCTTCTATTCTTTTGGCAGTCTGCAGATTGCTGTTTATTTTTTTTACCTTTTCAATTTCTTTATTCTTTTGGGCTTCTAATTTTAAACTCCAGTCGAATGCAGCGAACACCTGGACAAATTTATCACATTTCTCCCTTTTTTTTGTTCCGTCTTTTTTCCAGCAATTAATCCTTTTTTTTTACTGTATTAAATGTATTTCTCTAAATTGTTTGTTATAAAGATTCAATTTTTCTATTATCATGTTAAAATTTTATTCATTGTCTATATGACAATTGATGTGTGTGTGTATATATATATATATATATATGAAAGAAGAAGCTGAAAACCCATATTCATTAGGAACGTGTGGTGTTTTTCTTTGTTTTGTTCTTCGTTATCACTTAGTGAGGTCATATTTGGAAATTGAAAAAATGGATACATGATTTTTGTTAAGAGTTGTCCATATATGGGCATGTTTTTCGGGAGTATTGGAACTGTATTAAGGAAGAAGAATAAGTTGAAATATTGTTCATTATATAGTTTAGTCTCAAATTTTGAACTGATGACAGGCTAATATCATTCAGATGCTTTACGGCAAATGAACTGGATATCGAGAGAACCAACGAAACCTGGACCTTATCCCGTGCGTGAAGGTGAACAGGACTGCTCGTACTACATTCGAACAGGTCTATGTAGATTTGGAACTACTTGCCGATTTAATCACCCTCCTAACAGGAAACTGGTAAGGGCTTCAAATTTTTTTTTAAAAGGATTGAAGATTTCAAGTGCTACTTGGAACATAAGCAAAGTTAGTGCATTATGTTATTACCTATGAGATTTTGGATCTTGTTACTTTATGTTTTTGGAAACATTATGTGGGACTTTTGCTATGCGATTCGAATTGATTACCTATAAATTTTAATTGGTTCTTGAATACTAATTTGAAGGCTTCGTTTCTATGATGCCAATGGCAGAATTTGTTTCTGGTTGAACTGAATTTACTTTTAGAAATGAACACTAAATGCTTTCAAAATGTTGATTATTTTCTATTTTCCATCCAATTTGGTAATGTAGTTGGAAGGCTTAGGTTTATTGACGTCAAACTTGTAAACCAAGGCTTAATAAAGTACTCTCCACAGTACATTTTTTAAACTTAAAACAAATTAAAGGGGATATAGGTTGTGTGGCCGGGTATAATTGGGTTAGGTTGAAGAATGAAAAATTTTCAATGTCGACAATAATGAATATAGGTTGTAAATTTAGAATTGTCTTTCTTTTAGGGACCCTGTTTACATGTACGTTGCCTAAGCGCACACTTTAGTGACTTTACTTCTTCTGATGGCATGATCTTTTCCAATTTGCATGTCTTGAAGTGATATCAATTTAGAAGAATCTAAATTCTTATAAAAAGAAATGTGTAAATTCATTAGAACTTGCACACGCTTTTGACATTTAAATATCCTCTATAGATCTTTACGCTCTTGGATTTGGTAAAACTTATACATTCCCAATCATAGGCTATAGCCACGGCGAGGATGAAAGGAGAGTACCCAGAAAGAATAGGAGAACCAGAATGTCAGGTATTGCACGTTTACACTTGCCTTATATCTTGCTGTTATATAAGCCGTGTCATCATTTTTTGAGGCATAACACAGTGGAATATGTTTATAATGCTGTCAACACAGGTTTTCATTAATTTTGTCAGTTCTGCTTTTAAATTCTAAGTATTCTGTTTGGTGCAAATAGATATTTTAATACAAGTAAATGTGTGCATTGCTGTTATTACTCAAAGCTTCATGCATATGTTTATGTTTTGTATCTTGTTAAAATTCTTGTAATATCAAGAAATAGTTCAAGTTCAAGCACGAACAGCTGAATATTCAAATGAGTCCCAAAATTCAGAATTACCTGTTATCCGATTAAAAACCTGATTGTTCAAATAGCACACCAGAATGGCCGAATCCTTTAACCACAAGTTACAAATGCCTTTGGACAAGCATTTTCCACGATAGGTGGTGTGAGTCCTACTAATGTATTGAAATTAACTTGCCAACCACATGGTCAACGTCGTGAGAAATTTTCTTAAAAGATATTCCTTCACGAAAAACAGAATATATTTCCTTTAGTTACAATTTCGCGATTGTTGTTTCTAGCTATCCTTAAGAGAAAGAGAAAAACCTCTTGAGATTGTGAATGTCTTTACATTAGGTGTACCTTGAGAAATGCAGTTTATAGGTAGCAGTAGGATAATAGTCAAACTTACAAAATTTGACTCTTGTCTTTAGTGCACATTATTGTTAACATGATTGAATTGCTTCTATTGGCAGAAGCCTTAAAAGTGAACGTGCTTTGTAATATTCTTGTTCGCGTTATGTCACTGATCTATCCCAGATAATTGGTAATGAGATCAATAAGCTATGTTTTACACGAGTATGCCCATCTTCATCTGGACGTTACATTCTTACGATTTTAGATTATTACCTGATCCACATCTTGATGCAGTCTCCTGGCATGTGAAACTCTGCTAGTTTAGCATTTTCTGTGTAGTTCTTTAAATTTTGTCATCGTTAAAAAATATGGAACCTAAACTTCTTAAATGATAAAAAATATTGCTGGATGTATAAATATTATTATATTTCTTTGATTATTTAAGATATCTGCGTGCCATATCAGATTCCTGAAGACCTGGTCTCTGAATAATTTTGTGGGTTTGATGGTTTTGGACCTTGAAGAAGGATCACAGTCTATGACTCGCTAAAACTAATGGCAAAGAGATTGTGATAGAAAAAGTGCTGTATCTACATCTGTTTTTTTCCCATAATGCTTTGTATGGAGCTAAAAATTGCTTTTTGAACAGGAGTGTCTAGAAGCTTTCTCATGTGAATAGTCTCTATCTTTGATCGGTGATATGGATTCTACCATTTATACATGTACTTCTTGATTAAAATATTCAAACACGAGCAGGCCAATTGTTAAAGTAGGTAAATTCTT